AAATCATTCTGCGCTATATACCACGTGACTATAACATCACTACAAATATTTCATAAACATGTTTGCGAATTGTTACAGACAATTTTTGTGAAGTACTAAATTTATATTGTTTTTTTTTCTCCATGCAACAGACGGTAAAGCTGACTGAAGATTGTGCGTACAAGCCCGGGCCGCCGTCCCATCCGAAAATCAAGCTGAGCTATATACCACGTGACTATAACATTACTGCAAATATTTCATAAACATGTTTGCGAATTGTAACAACAATTTTTGTGAAAACAGCATGTATACTATTATTGGATTCCATCATGTTGATAGGAAATATTTTTGATTCCAAAAGTATTAAATTAATTTTTTTAGCTTATTTTTTTTCTTCAAAATGTCAATTTGGTAATTATATTTTATGGTAAAGGCCTATTTTGGTCAATTTTCGGGGATAGATATATGCAAAATATACACGTACGCACATCGATAAAAACAAAACCCATGTTCCGAAAACTTTCGGCAAGAGTGCATTTATGTGACCACGGCATTGCATTTGGCATTTATATTTTGTCAAATAAATGTGGTCATTTTTGGGGGACAGGCAGACAGACAGACAGACCAACCGACTGACCGACCACCAAATGACGTCATGAAAAGACAATTCAACTTCCCAAGTTCCCAACCTACAACACTCTCCAGGGAGGGTAAAAAAGTGTCCTGTTGTTTACACAAATATCAAGCATCCCTGTCCCTTCAGGGACTTTAGTATTATTCAAAATGAGTATTTAAGTCGAGGTATGTCCCCAAGGCTTAAAAGCTGAAGTCACGGGCGTGATGTCCACTCAATGCAGGACTGGAGGAGTTCACTGGCGAAAGAAAGAAAATGCCAGCCACTTAAAGTGACCACTTAGTGTACCAGGGGATCAATAAGAAAGGCCGAAATGTGCCCTACGGGACGTTCTCCGTCAAACGGTCTGGAAATAATTGGAAAATATCTTCGGGATTCCACCTTGGAAATGGCCCAGGGGAGGCTAGAGGGACGATGGAGGAAAGCTGAAACAAATCAAGTCGGGGATAAAGTGTTTAAATACACACACATAGGGCAAAAAACACTCAATGGGTAAGGCAAATATTCTCAAGCGAAGACGGCGGCAAGAGTAATGTTATCTAGCTTCTGCTGCTGCTTCTTCATGCTGGGTAAACCCGGGCGGTGATGACGCGAGACTGGAGGGTGTGTTGCCACAGTGATGCGGATGCAGAAGATAAAAAGGCCAAATCGCGTTCATGGGTCCACAGGTCTGTCGGAGACACAGCTTGATTCCCCATCATTGAGTCATTGCCATTGGAAACAAAATCCTCCGGATTGACTTATACCGTTTCCCGAGAGTATGTAGTCATGGTAGCCTTGAGGTTATACTTGCATAATCTTATAAAGACTCTTGTTAACATGTACATGTACATGTAGATTGGAGAAAAAGGCTAGATGTGACTTTTTAACGAGTCCTTCTCTCTTCACATTAAAGGGTTCATGCAATGTAATTTTTTTTACGCAATCCTTGAAAATGCACCTTTGCGTCCCATTTAACCCTATTTTCAATTTTTGATTTGCCATTTTCAAGGGTATTTTGGTGCCTTTTTCTTTTTTATGATAATATGATTTCCGCATTTCTGATTGAAAGTGTGATGTCAATTCAGGCAGAAACTTCAATGTTACAGCTATTTCAGCACAAAAAGTTGTAAGAATTTTGGATTTTTGCTGTAACTTCTCTTTTCTTTGGTGATTCGTTGTTGTGTCAGAACTTGGCAGTAAGCCAATGAGCAAACTTTTCTCACAACGATTTTCAATGGGCAATTTTTTTAGATTTGCAATTTGCTCAGAAAACCCCTGAACTTAACAGTGGCTTCCTGAAATGATATCACAGCAACAGCGCCCTTAGTTGTCTAGAAAAACAGGGAAATTATTTTAAATGTTTAAAGTGCACTTTCAAATAAAATTAACCAAAAAGGGATGTCAAGTATTGTTCATTTTCAAGAGCAGTAGAAAGTTGCACAAGTAGTCCATGATGCCTAAACCAACAAATTAATAAACAGACAATTGGTATTAAAAAAAAAAAACACTCATTAGGCCAAAAAAAAAACACCTCGGTCTCTGGTCAGCACGCGCGTCGATTTTAATCATGCGCGTCAACTTTTTTTGTTTCTCAAATTAACACGGAAGCTACAACAGCGCCCTCTAATGCCACGCCTCCTCAAAATTTGGTACCAAGGAGCACCAAAGAATGGGGAAATTGCACCAAGGCAAATGATAAAGGGCACCAAGGCAAATTATGGAGTACACCAATGTATAATGAAGACACAAAAAAGCAAAATAGTACCCACCTTGTCTGTACAATACAAGCTTGAAAAAAAAAAGCCACCCCAAAACAAACAAAAAACGCGTCGCCGCATCAATTCCGGAACTTCGGTCTGACCAGAGACCGATTTTTAATTTTTTTGGCCTTACGGTACTCAAGTACATGTAGTTTAAGAATTTCATAGAGAATGTTTGTTAATATGGTTTCCGTTAGCGTATTTGTTCATATGTTGGCTCTACATTTACAGTTTTGTGAATAAACATGAATCTCTGCCTTAGGAAATTTCATATCTTCGATGTCAGTGGGCGGTGTTTATTTTCATTGTGGAGATTGGGTTCCATGTAATTGGGATTTCTGTGGGCCCTTAAATTTTACATTTCCTGATTTGAATTTTATACAGTAATTTATTGTCCGTTCTCACTGTTTGGCGAGCCTTCAGAAGGACTTTGTTATCTTTAACTTTTAACCTGACGTTTTATCGCTGGTGATGTTTGAAGACAATTGTGACGACGATTCTTGAAATCGCATTTTTGGACGAAAGAGGTTTTAGGGTCATTGCGTTTAAATGGTTATATACGTTGAACAGATTGAGCAATTTCAGTAATATTTTTCATCTAAAAGTAGTTGATGAAATTGGCTTTCCAGTCATTATTATTTTTGGTGCTACACTTTTTTTTATATATATGAAATATATTTTTTTGGGTTTGTTTTCCGCTTTTTTTTTTGACACACCTTGTGTACAGTACTTAAACTTGCTTGAATACTTAATTATTGGCGTTCAATCCGTGCTATTTTAGAAGTTTACCCCCCCCCCCAGATTATTAATTTTTTTTAATGGCTATTCATTTGCAGCAATACAAAAGTTAACACTTTTGAAATAAAACAAAATCAACAATTCATTATGGAATTATCTTACATATTTCAACTTATTTGCAGCTGACCAATAATTCCGTTCGCGCAGGGTAGACTGGTTTCCGCCACCTGTGAACTTTGATAATGTACCGGTAGGGGGTGCGAACCAGTCTACTCACAAAGTGGGTTTGTTCATTTGTGCAAAAGCAATCCAAAATGAAAGTCTTTCTCCCGAGGATTGCCGATGCCAAAAATAGAATATTGGGATTTAAAAATATAACATTCAAGTTGAAAATTCATTCGGAGAAAAAATTATTTGTTGAAGACCAAACTTGCAGATTTTGCCGGATTTGGGGATTTTGTGCAAAATTTTTAGATCCGAGTCCTACACAGTACAAGCTGTGCACTCACTGCACATCATGAGTCTACATACCTGCATGGACTACAGGACTAGCACCCTCAACAGTGATACAGACACTGGATAGACACCCAAACTCAGGTGCGTCCGAGGCCAAATTCAAACTGGCGCTAATTTCAAAATTTGTGCTAACCATAGCAGAAAATTGTGCTAATTTTAATCACTATTTCATGGCGTGGATGTGCGAATGGTAGCATCTGTGTGGAGATGTCTACTGTTAAGTAACTGATTTAAACATTTTGTTTCCTCTGGGCAAGTGAGTCTTTTGCTGTGCTTACTGCTTAGGCCCAAAAAAAAAAGTCTCCGGTTTCTGGTATGCGCGCGCGTCGCCGTAGCCATGCGCGTCGGCAAAATGAAAAAGTTTTTTTTTTAATGAAAGATGATGTCTCAAAACCGCCAAACTCACTGGTTTGACTGGAATACTGCTGCTGCACAATTTTAACGTGTTTTTAGACTGGGTTATGGTCGAGAATAAGCTTTATGTGGCCTCTCTGGACTCCCACATATTTGCACTAAGTTTAGTCGGACACCATTTGCAGTCATCAGCACACATTTGAAGCAAAAAAGTCAGGTAAAAAAAAAAAAAAGCTGCGTCGCCGCATCACTTTTTGGGCAAGCTCCATACCAGAAACCGGAGACTTTTTTTTTTTGGCCTTACGGTCTCCATGGAATGTTCTGTTAGCAGAACATTGTGTGCTTAGCTACATCATGACTTTGGGCCCTGGTAGCAAGAAGGGAGGAAAGCCATTGACTGAAGAAATTATGAAACTTTGAAAAAGCCGGTCCGAGACCACGAGGCAGGCCACGGAAGACCTGGGATGAGACACTGGCAGAAGACCTCAGACTGTCAAACCTCATCAATGTGGATGTCAGAAATTGGACTGCGTAGAACAGGGCCATTAACCCTAAACCCCCAGCGTCTTTTACCAGGAACTGGACCAAGTCCATAAAAATCCATCAATCACTGTGCTTCCAATACAAAACTGTACATGACAAAATGGAATCCACCACTGACGCACTGGTTGACATTCATGGACTTGCTACACATGGCTTTTATCACAATAACAGTACAGAAAGCTAGGCAAAATCAATCGGATACCCCTAGCACTGCTATAGGTCATTAGGCCAAGGTCCATCATATTCCATCAATATTTAGTCACGCCAGGCCTTCTGGACCAAGTCCCCAAAATCCACCAAAATGGGGGATGCACTTTTGATGGAGTTGGGGTGGTTAGGGTTAAGGAAAAACAAGTCTCACTCCACAGTGTAGGAAAAATGGACGTTAAAATGAAAATGATGATCTTGGACCATCAAAAAGTCTTAAGACATTATCTACTGTTTCTGTATGGAGTTTATAACAACTTAGTAGCGTCAGCAACTTTATGACTTACTCTTTGAAGTAGTTCTCAGGGCGTTGGGTGTAGTCTCCAAATTGTGGGAACAAGCCCTTGGTCATGTCATACTGCAGTTGTACAGAACCACCTTCGTTGAACTGGTTGCCAAGTATAACCTTTATGTAAAATATAGACAAAAACAATGATTTACACGAGAACAGAAATTGTACCAAAAAAATGAAGCAATGAAAGGAATCAAACGCCTTAAAAAATGAAGTAAACATAAAATTCTGCAGGTAATATTTTAACTAATTATCATGGCAGAGAAATGCGGTATTATTGTTTGTAATAAACAAACTATGCATCTAATTTTTGATTCCCTTGTGTTTGGAACTATTAGCCTCTCAAAATAACTGGAAAATAATATTATGTACAATGTTCACAACTGCAGTTTAACATATATATATTGTTCTTGAGATATCTTCATCAAAAGAGGGCGATGTTTAACATCACCTTACCTTCACAAAGCCGACACTACATGAATACATGTGTCTCTGTCCCATGACTGAGAATAATATAAAGGGTGTCTTACAAAAACCGAAACCTGAAAGCCCCTCTTTTTCACAGCTTTTAGAAAAATACATCGCAAATATCGATACACTTAGAGAGTATATTTCATTAGCTATTCATCACCAAAAAATCTTTCCAATCGGGTAAATATTTGTAGAGTTATGGCCAATTGAATACAAGTACTGCTTTTTCGTTTTGTTCATGGCAAATGATATTTCGAATGCTGTAATAACGCCTCTGTGAACCACTGTGAACAATTTTAGTGTCCTGAAACTTAGTTCGAAATTCAAAAACGGTGGCATCCGGAAATTAGGCATAAAATCGGCCGAGTGTTTCCTAATATGGCGCACTTGAACAAATCTCAGAAATTCCAAAGTCAACATTTAAGAATTTCTTTAGAGTTCACAAATTCTGATAAACCATTATTACCTCAAAATTCACATTAATCAGAAATCAGGTTAATCAGAAAATTATTTGCTTATTTTTGGGCGCATTTTAAAAGGCTCACTGCAAACTTCAAAATAAAATCAGAAAGCTGCATGAAAGTGAAACTTCTCTCTGAACTTTGTAACGGGTAGGTTAACTCAAGGTTTATGAACAGAAATGTTTAGAGCTTGATGAAAATTCACGTACTGTAAAAGATGAGGTAAAACTTTTACTCTGGCAAGGCACTAGAGGCGAAAAATCAAAGTGCACAACATTAGGGGTCCGCGTCACGTTAGGGAATATCAATAATACTACCCACCTCTTCATATATGAATTTATTGAGTTCTTCGGCTATCCCCATCCAGAGTGTGTTAAAGACAGATGGGCACAGCTGATGCCTCAGCTGCTGGAGTCTCTCTTTAAGAGTCTGCAGCAGCTCACAGAGAGATGCAGAGAGGGCTGGAGCGATGTAGTCCTTAGGAGAAGGCATGGCAAACCATCTAGAAATAAATTAAAAGGAAACCGATTCAGGTCTATAAAACCTATATGAAATTTGATGTCACGTAAATAAAAGATACCTTTTTTGACTTGAGTTACAGAGCTCGTATCAGGAACTTGCGACACCATCACGGTGTCTTTATCAACTGGCGTTGTTGAGGCCCTCATGTGACCAAGCTTGGTCACACGACAGGAGGCAGTCATACACGTGGGCCAGCTCGTACCCTCCATCTCTGTTCATATGGGGGCGGTGCCTGCGGATTTCTACTGCCTCACGGATTTAGAGTTTCCAGAGGTCGTCCTCCCTGGCAATGATCTTAACATTGTCCACGGAGATGCTATGTCCTGGAGAGGATATATGTTCACCAACTGCTGTCAGGGGGCTGACCTACTGGTGTGTTCTCTGTATCGGGTCTGCAGAGTGCGAGCTGTGTCCCCGATATAAGTGTCTTCACAGCCATCACATGCCATTTGGTATACAAGGCCACATTTCTTGTCGTCTAGCGTCTTGTCTTTCAGGCTCATAACTGGGAGCTACGGGTGTTAAACGGCTTGTGTGACACCGTGTCCACAAAACACACACTGCAGCATTTCAGTAGAAATCTGCAGGCACTCCCCCAATACGAACAGAGATAGAGGGTACAAGCTGGCCCAGGTGTACGACCGCCTCCTGTCGTGTGAGGCCCTCAACAACGCCAGTTGATACAGACACCATGATGGTGTCGCAAGCTCCTGATACGAGCTCTGTAACTCAAGTCCCAAAAAGGTATCTTTTATTTACTTGATATAATAATGGGACATGAAATGAACTTTCATGCTCAAATATGATGTCATTTATATTCCAACGATTTACATAAATTGGAAAGAGGGTCTAATTTACCCTCTAGTTCCTATAGCACCCTAAAACTTCCTTGCCACGAATGCTTCTCGGTACGTAATGTTGTGGACTGCAACGCTCTTGTTAAGTTTCAAGGAACTTTGGGATAGTTACTTGTCTTTCCTGTACGGTCTGGCTCTGCTCTTGATGTCACTGACAGCTGTTCTCTGCAATGTCGCCGTCATGTCAATCCTCAGGAGGTCGTAAAGGTGAAGAATCTCATCAAAGACGGTACCCTCTAAGACATCCAGCTGGCCATCCCGAAATCCCTGCCGAGAAAACAAAACTGGTGTCAGAAGTGGGATCACTGTGGGGACACATAAACAATGTACCCAAGTTTTGGCAAATCACTGGCCATCACGAATCCCTGTCGAGAAAACAAAACTGGTGTCAGAAGTGGGATACAGGTGGGGACACATAAACAATGTACGCAATTTTTTGGCAAAATCAGGTCAATATTTCTTTAAGTGCCTCGCTAACTGCCGAAGTGTCATTTTCTGTCTTGAAAGATGCTCGCTCTGCAAGGAGTCAGCACAGAGCAAAACTAAGCGTGAACTACATGTATGGCAAACGAGTTCTACCTTCGCTTGAATCCTGCTACGTTCAAACCAAAATGAAATTATAGTAGCCATTGGCCCTGTGTGACAGAATTTGGTGCCTAAACAACATCAAAAGAGCAAAGAAATTGTAACAGAGTCTGTCAAGTCAGGGGACTGCAATCATGCAGCTAGAGCGCGACACCAAAGCCGGAGACAAAGTCCAGATTTGTTAAAGGGGCACAAGGTCCTCAAATCCTCGAAAATTTCATGTTTTGGATTGTTTACTTAGCCTATTTCAAACATCTGGTTGAAAGGAAACCAACCTAATGTCTTACCGTTCCCGAGAAAAGACGAAAAAACCTTGCTTGTTAATTCGGACACGACGGAGCACGAATAAGTTTTTCGTGTCGTTCTCAGTGTATGATATACACATTGTGTGTCTCGGGAACAGCGGTGACCAATCACCATCAATGCAAAAATAGTGGTTTCTTCAACGTCCGCAAAAGGTGAACACTTTACGAATGAAATCACAACTAGCATCCAAACAGCTAGAATTTATGGGGTCGCAAAAGTGGACCCCGAAATTCGTTCTCGCACGCATAATACAGGAATTATACAAAAACGCCCAGTTTTGAAAGGATAGTTGTGTGGATGCTTATATCCTACTTTTAAATGTTATTTCCGATTAAAATCATTTTGTTCAAAGCGCGTTTTGTAGCCCAATTGGGCTGTTCCAGGACCTAGTGTCCCTTTAAGCGCAGTAGAGTGCCATGGTCCAATGGTTATGGTGTTCGACTTATGTGCCATGGTAAATGTTCCCTAACTGGAACATGGTGCAAGACACTTTACTACAATTGCTTCTCACCAACCAGGAGTATAAATGGGTACCTGCGAAGGTAGACAGCAGATTGCGCTAGTCTGCTGCAGAAGGAAAATGGTCTCATGGCCTGATGAACAGGGATGACAACTGTGAAGCGCTTTGCAACCTTCCACGGTATACAGCGCTATATAGGCACAACGTTATTAACAATGGCGCCTTCAATTTCTCAAGAACAGAGCGACTACCTGAGATATTTTGCTGATGTCCTGGCTGGCCGTCAGCGTCTCCAAGGCACTGTTGAAGCTCTCCATTGTCTCCTGCTCCTTGCTGTAGTACTGCAGCTGGAGGAAAAACTGCAAACAGACAAAAATAGGACAAGTGGTTTTTCAGCACTGAGTGGTCATTTACAAATTAACTGCTTGAAAAGCTACCGTCATCATGGTAAATTGTAGGAATTCTCTCTAGCTTTATTGATGCAAGATTTTCAAATTCGTACAGTAAATCTTGTACAGAAATGTTCATCGCCGCATCACTGTTACAAAATACGTTGAGATGCCTCCAAGCTTTACCTTGCACAAAACCCATTAGTAGGTTTCCATCTCATCTCATAGTCAAGTACGTCCAAAGTTTAATAACAAGTTAATCCCAAGTCAAGTCACAAGCTACAGGGGAGGATCGATGACAGAAAAATTCCTTTGTCACAACGCATCAATATAGTTTTTTTTAAAATTGTTTTGAAAACAACAATATAGCTTTTTCTAAGAGCCAAAATATAGGTGCCGAGCAGTAAAAAGTACGGTGAAAGCTGTCTTCGATCGACGCTTGCAACAAGCCGTACGTGATTCTAGTGCTGCTGCATGCTGCATGCTTTCCCCAGCGGACCACACCATTTGAGGTAATATAGGGGTGTACTATCTTGGAAACAATAATTACCAACATTTCCGCTGTTTAAAAAAAGAAAAAAGACGACTAATACTTTTTATGGTGTCCGAAACATTTCTTTATTCGATAATTAGTTGTTCAACGTCACAATATAATTTTTGTACTTGAAATGTATTCAAGAAACGATGTAAACCTCAAAACAGGGACTACATCACTCCTTACAAAATTAATGGATTCGTCCATGAAAATGGCAGCATCGTTTTGACTATTTTCGAAGAAAGTTACGATCGAATCTTGAATACTGCTCGTTAGTAATCACAAAAATTTGATAAGTTTTGAGATAAAAACGGACCTGTATATTTTTAGGACAAAACAAATCAGCATCTGTTGCCACAAAGCAAGATTTGTACGTAGCGCTCCAGTCAGACAACACACGCAATGGGGGAAAATCACGGTGGGTTGCATACTCTCTCACGTGCTGCAGGCTGCCGCGCCGGGCGATGTATTAACTTTTACGGCCGGGGACCGGACGGGGCAGCCGGCAGCAATTCCCGGTGTTTATTTCTCATCATCAATTTCCACATTTGTTTGTGAGAGTATCGATTGTAAATGATTTGATACAACTTTTGTGGCCCTTTTTATAGCTACTATAGTGTAAATGGAACTGGTTCAGAGCATTTTGGCTAGAATTTGGAGGCCTTACAAAATTGAAACCGCTGCCGGTTTATACGCCGGTGCGGCTTATACGCCGACTTCAAATCTTAATTTGCAGATTTTTGCGTGCTGCGGCTTATGCGCCGCGTGGCTTATATTCCGAAAATTATGGTAAGAGCGTAATTGATGCACTTAGCCTTCCTTACCACCTGTTCTGACCATTCCTTCAGGATGTCTATGATATAATTGGCGCCGTTCAGGATAGCACTGTGCCTGCCAGCTAGCGGGTCGGTAGACTCTAGCTTCATGACCTGCAACAGCCGTACCCTGAAGTCATCCAACAAATCCAGCTGCAACTCCAGAAACCTCAGGTGATGGGTTGGGGAGGGGAGAACCCGGTATCGTTCTGAAAAAAAGAAAGAAATGGAATCAAAAAGTAACGCAGTGATCGTCCTCTTTTGATAAGTTCATTAAAATTAACACTGGTATGTCTGTGCTCTGCTTAAAGGTATAGGATCATTTGCTTTTCATGCATTTTGACCGTTTTCGATAACAACATTGTTCAAAATCCAAAGAAGAATGTTCAAAACCTAACCTGTTGAAGTCTCAGCTGAGTGGATTTTATACTTTTAGAGAAACCAGTGAAAATCCATGTACAGTGGAACGCCACTATAACGAACATCGCGGGATCCACAAAAAATGTTCGTAATAATGATTGTTCGGTATAGCGATTTTAAGCTGTCGGTGCTCCGGTACTCACTTTTCAATAAATGGCGCCCTTCATAACTTCACCCTGCACGCCCTGGTAGTAACTGAAAGACGACTTTGAACACGTGCCAACTATTGAATTATGTAATTACCGTTTTGAGCTTACTACCTACATCAATGGGTGGCTTTCCCCTTCTATGCCTTGGGGAAATAATAGCCACTTGTCGCTCTTCTGTTGACGGTTTTCAACAACAATGTTCAGTTGGTTTTGTACACTGAAATTGGGAACCAAGGACGATGTTCGGTATGGCCGAATATTCGGTATAGTGGTGTTCGGTATAGCGATGTTCCACTGTATATAGCAGAGCAATTCCATTGTAACTGATGTTACATTCAGAGCCTACTGACCCATTTGAAACAGCAAAATAAAATACTTGTAGTGCAAGTATAATTTGTTATTATTATTATTATTATTTTGAATCTGACATTTCTAGCATTTACCTGTAATGACTAACATCAACGTCATGAAGCTTTCCACGCATTCCGGGACTTTCAGATCGTCAGTTTCCTCCAGGTCTCTGTACTGAGGGAACCAGGCTGTCTGCGCAGCTAGAAGGGAGTCTATCTTCTCGACTGCAACTGTCAGAAATCAAAAGAAACCCACTCAATGTCAATATTTGCCGTCTTATACAGTACAATTTCTTTGAAAAGGTTGCAAGACCTGTCTTGGTAGGCTAGATTAGCACTCAGGAGTGTCTCAAACATTTGAAACATTCTTGCTTCTCTCAGAGCAAACTTTTAGCCAGGATCTGGAAGTTCTAAGGATTGGAAAACTGGATTTGGATTGCTATTGGGTCTTCTTAGAATACACCTATATGAGGGTTGTATCCAACATGAATATTATCGTCATGAAATCTGGTCTTAAAAATCACCTACAATTCTTACTAATATAAAAGGCAGTAATTATACAAGGTTCTAAAAATAATCAAATAATCATGTACCTCTGTCCTCGGGTTAAAGGTTTAAGGATAATCAGGTAACTAACTTGAAAAATGTAGCATGAAACTGAGGAATTACAAGTATCATATGCGTATCATAAAACAGTGCCACCAAGTGGCAACGTCTGAACCGGCTTGCTGGCGGTTATAAGGGTTATCTTAGGGTTATCTTTTGGACATCCTGTACTCTTAAACTGAGCTATCCAGCCCTATGGGCTCCGTGCACAAGTACCCCTTCAACGGCCAGAAAAGGAGAGTTGGGGGTGACCTAGACTGGTTCCTGGTCCATCCACTGCATATTTCGAATGATCCAAAGTTATTGGGGGTTGGGATTAGTCTGGAAGACCATTGCAAGTTAAATTCGAACATAGTTTTACGCGCCGATGACGCCTGACACTCACGCGAAGACGCTGTGTCTTATAGCTTTGGCACATTCAGGAAGTTGTGCGTACTTTGCGTGTGAACCAGTACAATACAGCACGAACACGCTGTGTCCTAACCACGGGGCTCTCAAAAGTGGTAAAAAGGCGCCCTCTTTTGTTGGTGCGTGGAGCCCATATTGGGGGTCTCCCTACTTGTCAATGTCTTTGCCCAAAGGGGGACTGTCAGAAGCTATTGAGCTGAATGTTGCCAAGGATTATGCCCAAAGCCAGATGCTAGTAACAGTGCAATTTATTTTACAAATTGTTTTATGTTAACTTTTATAGCAAGAGATGAGGATCGTAGCTCCCTGTTCGATCATAACCTACATTTCTTCTCCACGACCAGCCACCTCTCGAAGCACTCCTTGCCGGTCAGGACATGCAGGCAGTCCGGCTGGCCGGCTGGGTAGCTGTAGTTGTTCCTGAGCTCCCGATTGAACAGCAGATGCTCATCAATGGTGTGGGACAGAAGCTGCTCGTCGAAGAGAAGCTCCGGGATATCGTGCTCCAGCTTGGCCGCGACGATGTTCAGAAGACCACGGGTGAATTCCACCTGATTCACAAATACAATCATAAAATTGAGTCCAGCTGGATTTGAACCTGCGACCTCCAGATTGCCGTTCCGGTGCTCTACCAACTGAGCTATCCAGCTCTATGTTAGCGGTTCCCCATTTGTCAATGTCTGACTGGAGCGGGGTTTAAACCTGTGACCTCCAGATTGCTGTTCCGGTGCTCTACCAACTGAGCTATCCAGCCCTATGTTGGCGGTTTCCCATTTTGTCAATGTCTGACTGGAGTGGGGTTTGAACCTGTCACCTCCGGATTGCCATTCTGGTGCACTACCTAACTGAGCTATCCAGCCCTATGTCGGTAGTTCCCAACTTTGTCAATGTCTGACCGGAGTGGGGTTTGAGCCCTGAACCTCCGGATTGCTGTTACGGTGCTCTACCAACTGAGCTATCCAGCCCTATGTTGGTGGTTCCCCATTTTGTCAATGTCTTTGTTCAAGGGATGCTAGTCAAAAGCCATAAACCCGTATATGCCATGTAGCCAAAAATCAGGCATTACCGTCTTTCTCTTCCAACAAATGCCAGTGAAATGTTTCGCTAATGCTCTCTTCGCTATCCTCGAGATAATCATCATGATTTTTAAAGCATTGCATTTTGTACAACTGAATCTGAAACCTCCGAAAATCGCACAACATAATGATTTTATCCACAGGATCCTTCACAAGGCTACCCGTCCCGGCCGGCCATGTGCTAGCGGACGATACGGTGGTGCGGTACGTACGCATGCTGGTACCATTGCATATTCGCACGCACGTGCGACACAGTGATTTTTCCATGTCGCCTGTCAATGTTTAACCTTTTGTCCAGCCGGAGAAGGCTCCGATCAGTGTTATGCCCTGTGTTTCTACCGTTGAAACTCTCCAATAACAACTGGTGAAAGAGATTAAAACTACGTTCGCGATGATTTTAGCACGCCATTTCCATCGACTTTTCTTCGAAATTATGATTGAAATAAAATGACATTTTGTGAAAAAATCATCAGAAAATCAAATTTTGTGGGACACACTGTAAAAAAATCGGAAATTTCGTTGGAAAATTCAAAAAGTCGGTTTTCCGATTAAAATCGGAAAAGTTTCATCTCTGATAAATATAATAATTTGAGGTTGAACAAAGATATTGACAGTAGCAGGATATCACCCCTTTCAAAGACAGCCATCTTTGTATGAAAATAACAACTGCGTATTCAACGCCATAAGGTGCATGGGCGCACAGTGTCACATGTTGCCAAACATTTCTTCGAAATACAGCACAGCCGATGCGCGTCACAAAAATGTGACTCCCAAAATGCCGATGCCATGACAATCTGTAGGCAGCGACGTCATTTGAGAGAGATCTTTCGGTGAAGTCCTGATGAGTCAATGTTTTTGTTCAAGGGTCAGACGCTATAAACCTGATTATTTAACTGACATACAGATCCTTGTCACTTGATTGGTGGAACTCACATCACGTGACATTCATTATTGCTCCCATTCACGCCAGAGTTCAAAAAGTCCAATTCGCCCATGGGGAATGGGATTTACTATTCAACAGTTAGGATTGTCCTTGTTTCATGACATGGTATTTGTGTGCAAATGCATGCTAGTTTAATAGCACGTTCAGCGTTGCGCGTAGCGCGTATTGTTCCAAAGAGCCAGCACTACAGACTTGGATTCGAACATTTTCGTGAAGGGGTGGTTTGGAAGAGAGAAAGACATTTTCCACCTATTTGTATTAAAATAAAAGGTTCAAATATGTCAAATGACAAGGTTCTATATGTCAGTTATATAAAACAAATGTTGAGTGGCTTTAAATTGTGAAATGGGAGGAATATTTTCGCTCGGTAAAATCTGGACTTTTCCAGTTCACTTGGCTTCGCCTCGTGAAATGGAAAAGTCCAGATTTTACCTTGCGATAATATTCCTCCCATTCCACTCTGAGCCACTCAATATTTGTATAATATGCCATCAAGCCAGGAAATTTGCTATATTGCTAAAAACATTAGAAATGCTGCAATTCTGGGAAATTCTGCACCCAGTCAACTTCTTTCCTCAACTTTAAATCATTATATGCAATTAATCTTAAGGCTACTGTGTGGTAGCTCGACGACAAAAAAGCAGATCCACTATAATAGTTCTTAGACTTTACCTTTGCATTGATGTGTGAGAGATGCTCGGCCTCTAGAATCGGCTGTATCGTGTTGTCCAGAAAGTCACTGTGGTCACGTATCCAGTTCAAGACTTGTGTCAGGTACCATTCCGGCTGCAACATTTGAAAAGCATTGACAGTCCATTAGGCAACAGACACACATACTCGCTCCGTAGTTGTGGGGACCACACACCTGATGAACGACAGCAGAAAGTCCCCACAACTCAGTCCTAATTTCCCTTAAACAATTCAAAAACTACCCCGCAATGCAGTAACTGCTTATGTACACATATGTAAACATCTTAAATTAGTGACCGCCTATATTCCAACTGCTGTTTATACTTCCAAACAAAATCGGAACATTTCTCTCTAAACTTTGTAACGGGTAGGTAAACCCAAGGTTTATGAATGAGAATGTTTAAAGCTTGATGGAATTTCACTTAACTGTGAAATTTGAGGTGAAACCTTTGCTCCAGCAAGTACTGGAAGTGTGCCACATTAGGGGCTGCCCATTGTTAGGGGACATCAACAATATGCAACAGTAAATGCTGCTACAGTCCACTCACTTTAGGGCTGTCTCCATTCATATCTGGGACGAGTTCTAGACAAGTTCTGGACATGGTATCGGGTATAAGTTGCAGGATTCTGAACAACTTCCCCGCAATTTTCCTACAATGAAGTTATCAGTTGCTTACATGGACTGTCAATATCAGAATTTTCATATACATGTAAGTAGCATATCCAATATATCAATTATTCCAACGTATAAGTTAATGACCATTTAGATGACAATCTTAAGTCTCCATTTTCCATGGCTTGCTCTGGAGCACATTGCTGAAGCTTTTATTTTCACAAATCAATTTTTATTCTCAGTCACAAGCACAATATGCCGCTGAATTTTATTTCATTATACAGAAAATGTTCAACACCAAGTAAAAGCAAAGCACTAACAGGAGATTTATTTTGACAATAATCTGACGCACTTTTGATGTTTTCGATATCATTCCTCGATACTGAAATTTTTTGATATTTAGATATCAGCCATTCCATGGTGACTCGCGTGACATTTGAACAAAATGTAAAGTTTTAATGCATTACTGTTGTTAACCTGGCATTTATTCAACTCAAATTAGCATGTATTTGAGTCAGGGCATTGTGAATTTATGGTTTACTTTTTATATGATTACTTTAAAATCGCTATTTTTTTATGTATCACAGTTTCTTTGACGTGACTTGCGTGACAGGATAGAAAAAGGGATTTTTGACATCCCTTGATTCAAATAGCTTTTCCTATGGATCTACCAGTGTTCTAAAAAATATTCTTACTGAACTTAGAACTTAATACCCTCACCCAATACATGCATAACCCCCCCCCAGCTCTGTCCCCCCCAAAAATTCTCATACAAATTCCTAAAAAATAAGTCGAAACCCACCCTCCCACCCCCCCACCCTGCTGTGACACCCCCCAAAAAATAAACTGGTATAATGTCCGCCTCTTCAAAATACGGTACACCATTCTGTAATGTGTTAATAATCGTCGAATTTGAACAGCGCCCCCGATTGAAATTGGTACTAGCACCCCCCCCCGCCCCCCCAGTTTTTGATTTTCGGAGGCAAGTGTCCGGAGAAAAAAACGTGTACATTTTCAGATTTTTGGGCTGATGAAACCCTCCCCCCACACTGCGAAAATTCCTGGATCCACCCCTGGTGACTCGCGTGACATACATCATGTGTGACTCGCGTGACATTCTTGAGATAGTTTTTTCTACAAGGAATGTAGAGCAAATAAGAATATTCATACTTTTATTGATAGACCACCACTATTTCATTTACAAATATCAAACACTAGCTGAATCCCTCTCTAGTTATTAAGTAATATGAAAAAAAGTCCTATTTTGTGACTCGCGTGACATATTTTTGAGGGTGTTTTCACAATGAAATAGTGGGAAAATACTGAAGACATTTGGAAAAATTCTCAATGTTTTATCAATAGACTGGAATAGCTACCAAATGTATGCAGATAAAGCACAATCTTATGAATGAGCTTCAATTACTTCCTCAGTTTGTGATTTATACCCCTGACCCTCCGTTTTGCCCACAAATTCATCCATGTTCAGGAGGCTGAAACTTTAAATCAAATGATTTATTTTTAAAAATCTTTTGAGATTTAGATGGTTTCAATATTCCTCTTATCAAATATAACTGACAAACATTTATTCCTTTCACTTCAATTTTTGAGTTTGGTGATGACCCTTACATGGAATGGCTGATATGATTAAAAAAATTTATATATCGGCGATATCAATATCAAATTAATATTATTGAATAATCGAGTAATATTGATATATCGACGGACCCTAGTTGCTAATGAAAATTTTACCAGAACGTGTCCAGGACAAATGCAGAGCTTCTCCTGGACAAAGTGAATGATTCTACCCGCAACTTGTCCGCAACTCATCCCGGATAGGAATTGAGACGGGCCCTTTCAGTAATCTCACACACTTTAACCATTAAAGGAACACTGCCTGCATACTACAGAGACAATAACTGTACCTTGTCTAGTCCGTTGGTTTGTTTCTTTCCGTGGAAGTGATAGCGAAACCGTTTGCGCAAGGGCTGCAGCATCAGATGAAGAGGCAGCAGAAGAGGTCGCGACCCTGGGAGACGACTATACTCCTGGGTGGAGAAATCTTCCGAGACTAAGGTATCTCTGCATCGGCACGATTAAGGAACAGATATGAATGAAATGTACATTTTTAGCATCGGGGCAATTCCATGCAAATGTGGTCACGGCTGAAATGTGGGAAAAATTATAAAATCTTCAGAACTACATGTACAAGCAACACAACCTCAAATGCGGGTTTTATCTTTGATCAGATAAAAGCGGATACGACTTTTTATTTCAGTGGTGTGCCAGTGAGATGTGATATGGTAAAATGTATTTATTTGTCCAAAAAGCTTTTTTAGCCAACATTATGGATTTTAGGTAGTCAATTTGGCACCTTGTTTTCACATGCAAAATGCAAGTGTCATTGTAAGTTTTGGTTTTCAAGGCGGCGAGAAAGGTTCTATTTTTTTTTTATTATATAATAACACATAGAACTAACAGAATACCATGATTCAGTTTGTTGTTTTATCATGTGTTTGAAATAAATTTCAGATATGTAATGTCTGTAACATTATATAATAAAAACATGATGTTTCCATAACATCAAAGGAGCTTTTTGTAAAATGGCATTGTTTTTTTTATTATAGAGTGAAGCTGTATCTGCCACAACATAGTTATTTCATGAAATTCTTGCAAAAAACTTCACATATTTTTATCAATGCGTACTGAAAGTCAAAAACCTTCTGGTCGATACTGAAGAATTTGAAACTTTAAAGGTGGCTTTACAGTGAAGGATACGGAAGTTGCAGTTTGACGAGTTGTCCAAACAGCGTTTCGACACGGTTCTTGAGCTCAATCTGCTGGGCAGGTGGCGGAGGCATGGGCACCGCACTGTGAACAAACGGCCAGTTGAGTGCCTTCAAGACTTCATCAAACTCACTAAGACAGAAAAGATGAGAAAACAAACATCATCTATGATCTAAATGTAGGAATGCTGCGTAGCACTGTGTACAGAGCATAGAAAATTAAAAGTTAATGTAGATCAGTGCACAACGCAAAGAACGAGAGCAGCGTCTCATATTCGATCTGAGGACGCCCTGACCTGGTGGTTTGAACGAGGAATTCTCCGCGTTCAAAACATGCAAGAACAACACCCCATGAAGAAGGACGGAGGTCCGAAAGCTTGGGTACAACAGCTAATCCGGTGAGCACTGATCTACATTAACTTTTAATTTTCTATCACCTATGATCTATTACATTTAACCCTAACCGCCCTGAATCCTCCAAAATCCTTTTTGCAAATTGGAGGAATTTGCAGGATTGAGGTTACATGGCAAAAGTGCATTGCTGATTTCGGAGTACGCACTGTGTCAAGGTCTTGGGCCGGACCTTGTGTTGTTTATGCTCATCCGTGCATAAATTCAGTCCTTGATTATACTTGAAATCCTCCGCACTGCTCCAGGATGTCACTGCCTCTGCCTCAGCCTATTGACAGACATAGCCGGAGGATTTTGCAGGATTCAGGCAGTGGTCACCCCTCAATGGACCATGTTCAAGAAATAAAGGAGGAATTTGCAGGATTGAGGCTATATGCTATTTTTCCATGGGGCCAATTGGAGGATTTTGCAGGATTGAGGCTACATCCTAGCAAAAAGGCCTAGGGGGTTAGGGTTAAGCTGCAGTTAGTTTTTATTGCTTGTCCATAAACATGCATGTGAACGAAAAAGTTTGGCATACACATAAATATTAGGTTCATGTCTGCGAGCACTGAAGTGTTTACCCAAAGAGATTTTTCAAACAACATCACTCACTCAATGTGATTCATTAGCGTCATGACCCATTGTTGTTAATCTAAATTGAGGTTGAATTTTACATTATCAATACTGATTGTGGGGCGGGAACCAGCCTACACCGTAAGAACAGAACTATTATCTGGTAGCCAATAATTCAAATTGTCAAGTAATAATTAAACAACTACACATGGGCCAATTTTTTTCAGTTGATGTCTCATTCATAAGTGAATAACTTTTGTACTGCTAGGGAAAAAGCAATTTTGAAAAGACATCTACTTTTCAGGATGAAACTGAATAAGTCAGGTGTGTTTACAAACACAAATGCCCCGCAACCGTGACTGTTTCCATGACATAACACCACTCTAACATCAACTTACATGTACCTTGGTCAAATGGAACGTTCATGTACAGCATTAGTGTCTTCTGTAGGTTTTATATGAATTAATCCCTAATCCCTATGATCTCAGAATAAATACAAAATTTTCTATTGTTTTAGCCACTGTGACCTTGACCCTTGACCTTTCGGCCCCAAATGCAATAGGCTTCTTAGGATTACCAAGAACATTACACAAACCAAATTTGAAGTTCATATGTAAAGTATTTCTCAAGTTATCGCGCTGACAAAATTTCTTTTGTTTTAGTCACTGTGACCTTGACCCTTGACCTTTTGGCCCCAAATGCAAAAGGCTTCTTAGAATTGCCAAGGACAATCCACAAACCAAATTTGAAGTTCATATGTTAAGTATTTCTCAAGTTATCGCGCTGACAAAATTTCTATTGTTTCAGCCACTGTGACCTTGACCCTTGACCTTTCAGCCCCAAATGCAAAAGGCTTCTTAGGATTACCAAGGACAATCCACAAACCAAATTTGAAGTTCATATGTTAAGTATTTCTCAAGTTATCGCGCTGACAAGATTTGTCCGGACACACACACCCACCCACTCACCCACCCACCCACCCACTCACCCACCCACACACCCACGGAAGGACAAGGCGGAAACAGTATGCCCCTTCGGCTTCGCCGCGGGGCATAAAAATAACACGGGGAATTCATCCTTGATCACAAACAGCAGTTGTATTTTACAAGGTTGTTGAGAATTTTTGTTGCATATTTTTTAATGGAAAATAAATTAGAAAATTAGAAATTTGTTGTCAACTTGAGTGAAGATAACTTATGTACAAAATAACACCTCCATTTTACCTACTCCACCCATCCCTTTTAAATCTCTTGTGTGCAATGAAGTATGATAAATTGTTATCAAAATGTAGTGAAATGCTCCTCCAAAGAAATAAAAAGCGAAGTCACTTTGTTTTGGGTATTTCAGAAATTACAGATGTCTTTTTAGATTACCCGCTCACCTGGACAACTTTTCCTTCAGAATCTTGTACCAGAACAGGATCGTGGAGGTGACAAACGCCAGTAGGTTGCTGCACGCAGAGCCCCGCACGGCCTCACTGACCTGGGCCAGTTTGGCGAAATGCGCCACCGCACTGGGCATGGCCCCCAACGAGATGCCCTTCTGAACCTCCGAGCTGTGGAAGAGTTTAAAGGGAGCGGAGTTGACCAGGAGGGAGCCTTGGATCTCGGAGCTGTTGGTTAGTGGCAAGGTGCAAGGTTGGTAAGGGTGAGGTGGGTAGCAGGTAGGTTGAGGTGGGTAGCAGGTGGGTAAGGGTCAGGTGGGTAGCAGGTGGGTTGAGGTGGGTAGCAGGTGGGTAAGGGTGAGGTGGGTAGCAGGTGGGTTGAGGTGGGTAGCAGGTGGGTTGAGGTGGGTAGCAGGTGGGTTGAGGTGGGTAGCAGGTGGGTTGAGGTGGGTAGCAGATAGGTAAGGGTGAGGTGGGTAGCATGTTGATTGACACAGCAGGTGCATAGCAGGGTGGGATTAAAAAAGAGATAGGAAAGGAGGAGGAGAAATAACTGCCAGTTAGCTAAACAGCAAATAGCAAACCATGTTAATAAGCTGCCTCGATGCAGTCCCTTTTATTTGTGAGACATTCTGGCCAAACTTAGATGAAACTGAAAACAGGTCGTAGCGCAGGAAAAATAAAAATAAATGAAAAAGATTTCTTTTCAGATTTATTGATATTTTTAATCTTTGATATGTCTAGAACACACATATTTTATGAGAAATGGTACACAAAATGTTACATAGAAGTGTGGGTTTGTTTTTATGTAAAACAATAGGCATCTCTCATTTTCACGACTATCAAGTAGTCAAAACTTTAAAGGCCTTTATCTCAATGTTTTACTTTTTGGATAAATGCAAACTGTAAGCAGCCACATCTTGCCAACGAAATGCCCGATTGAAGTGTAAATAGGGGCACCCTATGGGGAAGATTGACATACACTTAATCTGTTAGATGCAGATTGGAAGGTCAACATATAGATGCGCCTCCCCCCCCCCCCCCCCCCCACTATATTCACATTTGCATATAATTTGTATATAAAAAAAACCACCAGCATGCTCTTGTCTATTGTAAATGTAGCAAGGCATGGCAAGGGGAGTTATGTCATTCAAAACAACTCTTACTCTGTCTACAGCCTACAAAATACTGCTATGATAAACACCACTAAAAGAAAAGGGTTTTCAGAAGTTAAATATTTATCTTACATCTAGAGGTACTTTTCATGCAAGATTTGCAAAGAGTTTGTCGAAGAATGATTACAGTATTTTTCCCGGGGTCAAGATTAATTTACCAAGTAAGTATCTTCCGCAGTGAAAATCAAGCAAAGAAAACCCCGCTGTCTTATTCTGATTTCCTTTAAAACGACTTTCCCCCATAGGTTGCTCTCACCGATGCGTGGCTCACAATACGGAGGAAGTCCAGTATTTATTAAAGCAACATTCATGTGGCTATACCATGACATAGATTGTTCCCCCCCCCCCCCCCACCTAAAAATATGGGGACCTGTAGCTAGCTCCCATTTTAAAGCCATTGATTGGATCACCTCTGCGCGCACATCATGGTTGTGTATTTTTTAATCACTACTTAGGCAAAAAAAAAAAAAAGTTCTCCTTCCGATTACAGGCATTTGAAAATAGGGTAGGTAGGTAGGTAATTTTTTTTTGGCAAATTTTTTCTGTGTACGATCATATGGAGGCGTCTGCGTGTAGTCAAGGGTAACAGGCAGAAATTGATGGTTTTGGGTGTTTTTTCCTCATTTTTCCAATAAAAAAAAATTAGGGTAGAGGCTGTCAGAATAGGGCAGGTAGAGAAACTGGAAGCAGAACTATTTTTTTTGGGGGGGGGGGCCTTAGCTTTGTGCATGGACGGTGATTGAACACACGATTATCAAAAAAACTTACTCTTGCCTTCCCACAAAAGTATGCAAAATTGTCATTGTCTCCATGACATGCATGAGGGCAACTTGCAAGCACTTCAACAGCATTGGTTTAAAATACTGAACAGTAATTTCTCTCTTTATTGATATTTGGCAGAGACACTTTCAAATTCAGCCAAAATCGAAGCTCATCACCTCGGAAATTGCACATTTGAGGTGTGGCCTACTGTGTTCCCATTTTGCAATAGGCTGGTTGCGCGCAACCATTACCGTTGTGATTTTGAAATTCACGAGGCGGGATTCAGACCTATGACGTCATGCATATAATTTGCATAAATCAGGAGGAATGCTTCCTGATATAGTAAGGTTCACTGCTAGCTACCTGTCCCCATATTTAAAGAGGTTGTGGAATGCTCGAAGACATTTCCGTCATTTTTTCAGGTATATGTAGCCTAAGGTGTGATGAAATAAAAACGACTATTGTTTCTGTCATGAAATGAGTACAGTTAAGGTACTTTTGAGAGCTGTTTTTCAGGCCCTGTTTCGACCCGAACGTGCAATTTGTGTAAAAGTCGTCGTTGGGGGCAGCAAACAAAACATAAATCGTGACGTAATAAACAGGACTCGTTTATACTACGCTGCATCGGGAGTCCTGTTTATTATGTCACGATTTACTATGTTTTGTTTGCTGCCCCCAATGACGACTTTCACACGAATTGCACGTTCGGGTCGAAACAGGACCTGAAAAACAGCTCTCAAAAGTACCTTTTGTACCCATTTCATGACAGACACAATAGTCGTTTTTATTTCATCACACCTTAGGCTACATAATACCCGAAAAATGACGGAAATGTCTTCGAGCATTCCACAACCTCTTCAAAGTCTGAATGACAATGGGGATAGGGAACCAGACTATACAATGACAGTACTCTACCTTAGTTCCTCCACCAGCGCCAACCATTTCATGTATTCCATGCACCTCTCCAGCTCTTGTACTTTCTCCGTCATTTGCCTGAGCTCCTGAACCATGGGCTCGGCCCGGTTCAGGTGGCTGTTGGTAGCTCGTCGGGACTGTTTGTTGGAGGTGGTCAGCGACTCCATCTGCTGCATGGCTCGTTCGGCGCCCTGGAGGGCGCCCTGTATTCTGGTCGGTGTCTCGGTGCTGACTGCTGTCAACTTCACAGAAGATTAAACCAAAATAGAGCTTGAATTATCAGATTTTGAATCTGTATGGGGGGGGGGGGGTCGATGGGCTGGGGAAGGCTAGTCTGCAATTGTGAACATGTTCAACTCTGAATGCTGCGTTTAAGGTTCCAGTTCAGAGAATTATTATTTAAAACTTGGCTGGCAAAATACAGAAGAGTGATAAGACCTCAGCTTTGCTTTTTAAAAAATTCTCTTGGACAGGCCAGGGGCAGGGCTAGTCCGAAAATTTGGGACTCTCAATACTGTGTATGAGAGTCCCAAAACTTAAGGTATCCATATCGTGCAAAACTTTGTGCTGCATGATAAAACCAGTGTGAATCAAATTTGCAAGCTTCTTACTCACTACAGTTTCCTCAATAATCCCTGAAACTTCTGCCTTGCAAAGTTGCTGTTGTGAGCATTGCATCACCAAAAGTTCAGCTTTTAATTCTAATTTTGCAGGGAGTTATCGAAATCCATACATGTACGTGAGACATCACGTTGATGTGTACTGCAATGCATTGTGCAAAAAGACTCCTCAGCTATAACATTTTCATCGTGTAGATAAAACAGCGCCCTCTTGTTGATCTGAGTGAATGCAAAATGTTTCATTTTTTAGCAGAGGGCGCTATGTTCATTTGGCCATTGATTAAAAAACAAGTAAGCTGCAAGGCTCTTCCTACACCTACCCAGAATACATTGGGAATCACACACATATTTCCAGAGCATGGAGAATGACGTGGGTGGTTTTTGAACTGCCAAAACCTTGCCTTAAAATTGGATTTAAGGTCTCAAATTTTGCAGGTGACATGCTTACAACTTTATCATTTTGATGTATGTGTTGTGTGGGCATTAATTAGCCAAATGGTGAGTAAAAAAAAGTCAGTAGTAATTTTGCACGTTTTTATGCACTCACGGTCCCAGTCTGGGGCAGGGCTAAGGGACGGAAAGCACGCTGGAAACAATGTTGCAACCTGACGCCATTTCCTACAAAATGGCGATCTTGTATCTACGAACCCGATTCCTAGTACTATAAGGGAACAAAATCCACTTTTAAATTATTTGACCTACCAAACTAGTTGGCGACATTAAGAACATACAGGTATGTCAAAGATAAAGTGCAGGGTTTTGAATTTGAGAGAGAAATTTGGGGGTAAAACGCAATACAAAAATAATGATGGCGATCACCACGTGATATCGGTATACCATGAGCACGCAAGTCACGCTGCACGTTACCAACGTAATTTTTACCCCAAGAAATTGTTCAAAAATTACCAAAAAAGGTGTCATTATGCTAATACAATTGAGAGAAACCTGCTATAGCCTTGACAATGTCATTTTTTAGTAATATTTACTAATAAAAATATTCTTGATTTTAATTTGATCGAAACAAAACAAGGGCCCTACACGATCGCCGAAAAAAGCAGTGTCAGGTTGCAACATTCTTTCCGTTATTCTTAACACCTATCGGGTCTAAATGAAAGAAGAGAAATCAACACCCCCCAGATCTGCCACTAACCTAGGAAGGAATATATTATCCTGTCACCAAAGGACTAATGGTCGTGTATAAATTAAAGTGTATGCACCATTAATTATTGAAGGTGAATAGCAATGTGTCGGAAATAGACGTAAAATTGTAAACACACAGTGCACAACAATATTTGTAAGTTCGATCAATTTTTACCTGCTGTTCTAGGATTTTCTTCTCATCCAATGCACCTTGCAGCAGCTCCTGTACCTTACTAAGAGTCTTAACATCCTCCCCGATCTGTCCGTCTATGAGACAGCAAACCTCATCGCGCAAATTTGCCGTGTCTTCCTCCATGATTTTGTGTCAAACGTCCACGTTTAATGTTTACGTGTAATTCAATGGCGTGGACTGGTGCCCATTACTATTGGTAATTTTGCATTGGTAATGCACACAGGAGTTAGGATTTCGGACTTTCAAGCCGTTCCTAAAGGGTGTTTGGAGCTAAGGCTTTGCCTCTGCGTGACGGCACGCTACAATGATTAGCCACAGCCCTAGATAGCAATGCATGTTCCGGACACGTTCATTTACAGGGGGAAAAAAAATCATTTTCTTTTTTCTCGGGGTAATGTCTGCACCCTTTACGACTGCTTCCAAGGATACAAACTTCCACACCCTTTTAACAGAAAATTGTTGGTGACGGGAGGGCGCACTTTATCCATCCATGCATCTGAGTAAATACCTTTTACTTTCAAGAAAAATTGTACCGAGGAAATTAATAACGTATAAGGGATTTTCAAGATCGCCATCAGATGGTGGAAAGCCTAAAATTAAGCCCATATCCCTTACAAAAAGAATCGTGTTATTTTGGGAGTCACGTGACCTGCCCCCCCCCCCCTCCCCAGGGGCGACTTTGCCAGGCTGGCATAGTTTGAAATTTGACTCATGGAAAATTAAAGGGGAATATTGCATAGAGTATAACATAACTGTATGCAAAAGGGAGTCAACCCATCAACCCCGTGAATGTTATATCCCATGTCGCCCTCTTTTGATGAGATGGTGCAAATCATTGTCTTGTATCGTTTCATTTTCCCTTAAGCGCAGAACAGGAGTATATTAAATTTAAAAGAGCATTTTCGCGAGAAAGCACGTGTACCATGAATTGATATTAGAGACCACTTCGAAGTGGAATATAATTTTTCAACCCACCCACCTTGAACATTCGTTGTTATCGTATATAATTCCCGTGTGAAGGAGTTTCGGGGTGCAATTTTGGTCCTGATTTCATGGTCCTGATTTTTGGTCGTGATTTCATGAACCACTACTTTTCTTTTCAAAAACTGTCTGGATGCCCGATATCAAACAGCATGTTATGCGACGCCAGTCTTATGTTGACAGTAATGTTTTTGGCTCAAAATCTGATGGCTTTAAATTCACAACTAAATAGGCCCACGTAACCACGTAAAGAAAAAATCGATGCCGCGTGGGACGTAAACCAAAAGTTTTTCAACATTTCTCCGTAAAATGTACAATGTACATGTACAACGTTATGTTGATTCAATTTGACCTTGACTTTGAATTACGGATGTGGCTTTTGAATCACGTCTTCCCTGCCCCGCCCACTCCCTCGCTTGTAATATATTACAGAATAGGCAGGTAAATAACACAATCATACACATTAAATGATTCATTATTTTTTTCACAAAGCATTCATTTTTTTTATTCATCTTTCGGGGAAACAGGGTATAGGTATTGTCAATACATATTCATCAACACCACTGAATATTCAAAACTTGTTAAAGATTGAATATTTCATTGCTAAAACATCACGTGGTCACGGGTGCTGCACTTTATATACATATCATTGAACACATTATACCATTGTTCAGATTTTACAACTTCTTATTTAAGAACTTACTTCTTTTTTTTTACAAATTTCACTGGACGAATATGTTTACGTTTCCGTCGTTGCATTTATATAAAAACACACCCGTTGTTAGTAATAATAATTATACATTTTATATATCAATACACTTCGTAGGAATACTTTTTTTCCCGTCCGAAGCTGGCAGTACTATAGGCTTCATTATAATATTCAACAGTTATCAAGCATTGTCATGACAAACTATACACTGATATTCCAAAGGCTACACAGGATATAGGGTTTCATTCATCATCGTCGTCTGGTGTCGGATATCACAAAAATAGCAGCTTCTCGAATGACATATTCTATCCATAACATTCTATCCATAACAGATCACATTTCGTTTCTCATTGGAACATCTTTTATTCATAAGATTCACGCTTGTCTGCCTGCATTGTTTTCGCAGGAACGGACATGTAAACCCATTCAGATCATTTTCAAAATCCAGGATAATAAAGGGCGAAAATAATGTCAATGCGAGTTCTATATTTTATTGGTCAGCTTTTTTCCGCAGTTTGACGAGGAGGATCCGCCCCTCCTAGAATGGAGGTGCCGTCACCGCGTTTATGGGGAAGTTTTTTATTGTAAGGCAAGTTAGGACTGAGTTATGGGGACTTTCTGCTGTCCCCACAGCGTCTTCGATAGGTCCCCATAGTACCATGGGCAACTCGTGTGTAGTCCCCACAGTTACGGAACAAGTATGGTTGTTCAAGTCACGCCTCTTCTCTTATACCGCAAAACGAGGGGCTAACTTCACCAAGCCTGGGGAAGTTTGTTATTGTTAGGCAAATTAGGACCAAGTTATGGGGACTTTCTGCTGTCCCCACAGCGTCTTCGGTCTCCATAGTACCATGGGACAACTCGTATGTAGTCCCCACAGTTACGGAACAAGTATGGTTGTTCAAGTCATGCCTCTTCTCTTATGCCGCAAAACGAGAGGCTAACCTCACCAAGCCTGGGGAAGTTTGTTATAGGCAAATAAGTACCAAGTTATGGGGACTTTCTGCTGTCTCCACAGCGTCTTCGGTCTCCATAGTACAATGGGACAACTCGTATGTAGTCCCCACAGTTACGGAACAAGTATGGTTGTTCAGGTCACGCCTCTTCTCTTATACCGCAAAACGAGAGGCTAACTTCACCAAGCCTGGGGAAGTTTTTATTGTTAGGCGAATTAGGACCAAGTTATGGGGACTTTCTTCTGTTTTCTCAGCGTCTTTGGTCCCCATAGTACAACTCGTATGTATAGTCCCCACAGTTACGGAACAAGTATGGTTGTTCAGGTCACGCCTCTTCTCTTATTCCGCAAAATGAGAGGCCGACTTTACCAAGCCTAGGAACCTATTAAAAAAAGCATAACTAAATCTTCATTCCAAATAAAACGTCAGTCTGTGGCGTAACTTTGGTTCCAATTATATTCTCACTTTATAGAATATCAAAGATACACTGCAAAAACTGCCGCGTTAAATTTAACATTGATGGTTTCTACATAGGACCACGGTTCTAACAACATTTTGCATCACCAATCTTCCGATCTTATACAGATACCACCGGGATTAAGGCATGTAGGATCATTTGCTGTTCATGCATTTTGTTCGTTCCCAATTTATTATAACACCACAGAAAATCAAAAGAAGAATGTTCAAAACCTAACCTGTTGAACAGACAATATATTCTAGGTGGTGATGCCTAAAGCCGGAGCTGAAAAACGCCTGAAAAAGTGCCAAAGTTTTTAATAAAGCAAAAGCAAATTGAATAGGGGTAAAAGTTGTTCAACAGAACCCCCAGTGTGGAGGGTGATTCATTTGCATCGTGTGCATCCTCATCGCTTCAGCTCAGTGGATAAATGACACTGTTCGAGAAAACAGTGAAAACCATGCACAACCTTTCGATCACGAAACAGAATTTCGTATTTAATTCTTTATTTCCAAAATCGGTCAATTGACTCATCGTTGGAAATCACCTCCATTCCTTGATTTCTTCGAAATGACAGCAAAGCCAGACGGAATAATTTCATGGGGTGTTTAGTATACCAGTACGATCATTAATCCAAGTAAGATTTTTTTAATAATAATTCGGTAAGTTACGTTTGGGATAAAGGCAAATGATCCTATATGCCTTGAGTCTATACCACAGTATTTGCAATTCGCAGTTTTCGGTCACGTCACAAAATTCAGAACTAGCCTAACGTCAAAGGTGAGTGACTCTGAAATTTTAGGTAACGTCGAACAAAATGAACCAAGTGAATGAATTATATGGACGAGGGTTAAAATGGACGGAGATAACATTTATTTCAGTCGGATGTAGTTGCTGTTGTTCTTATAAATTCGATCAATAATCCTACGGTACTGAGTCCTGAATAAGCCTTGGTTTTAAACTGATGCCCGTCATTAATTTGCCCCCCAAAAAAGGTTAGCTGTATAAATTCGTGATAATTATGTGCAAACAAGTAAAAGTTCGAAGCGTATATGACATTAGCTGTAGGCCCTAAACATTCTCATTCACAAAATAAATGGTAATCTTTTGCGGCCATCATTTTATAATTTTTATAGTCTTAGCAGAGAAAATATTGACTCTTCGGGTCCATGTTTCTAATTCACTGTAATTATGCTCCTTGTTCATGCAAGTGGATGGGTTCTTCATATCTTTGCATCTCGCCTTTCGTTGGACAACACGTCATTATTATTTAGTCACTGGACAACACCTCTACACGTAATTTAAACAAATTCTAGCTTTGGTGAGCTGACATCAATTATTGAACGTTCTACATCATCCACGAGTCACATACTGCGTGTGCATGGTATCACATTTTTTTTTTTTTTTAAATTCCCTTACATGAATAAGTACTTCATTGAAGAATTCACATCCTAGTTCCGAGCATCACACATAGCAGGCCTCAGCTACTTTTCCCCAAGAGACAGTCCGAATGTGCCATTTAAAGGAATAAGCAGGGAAATTGTTTTGATCGGATGGCCAAATATCTTAGGTACATGACTTAAGGGCTGTAGCTCCATCACAGGCAAAGAGTTTAACATTTTGTTTAAATAAAGAAACACATTGAGTAAGCTTGCATTAATTAAGCCATAATTGTATAAATCTATTTGCATTGGCACAGTGTTAACCTCCCTTAGCCTTTTCTCGAGGCATTGTTTAACCTCTGCACCTGCTGACTGCACTGACGACCACGGAGATGTTTTGACGGCTGGTATACACGTCCCGTTATCGCTCCAATGCCTCCGTTAATATCACGGTCCAAACGTAACGTCGAAGGGTGGCGCTGTTTGCCTGCCGATGTCTCTGCATCAAGACACGCCCACGGTCGACGACGACGGAAACACTGCGTCACATTCCTCGCGTGTGCGCAGTGTGTGCCACTGAGCCACGGGGGAGCGGTGGGCGTGGACCATACGTTGCCAGTGTGTAATTTCACTGGGTCCTAAGACGGAAGAAAATCAGTTAGAATCCCTTCATTTACGGTCTTACTTTAACTACATTATTTTCTTAATCAACAAAATTAAAGGACAAAATGTTTCTTGGTTCATGGACATGAACAGTTATGTCTTTATAGGAGTATTTCGTGAGACTTACGTTATTATTCGTCTATAGTCCGATCGGAACTTTCCAACAGTGTCTTTTGACCGCGAGAACTATACAGGAGCGTATTTAGAACAGCTAAAAATGTAAAACTAGCACCATTTGTCAAAAATGGTCACAAAATGGACCAATGGTCAAAAGCACAATTTTTACAGTTCTTATAGTCGAATGGGAACTTTCCAGCTTTGTCTTTTGGCCGCGAGAACTATACAGGACCACAATTACAACAGCTTATTAATGTAGAACTGCAGGCAGGCTACTCCTACGTAATTTATCGCCGTCCGGTCTGCCAAAAAAGGGAATACGAAGCAACAATCACTAGTGCTGGGCAGTAATTAGCGGTGGTGGCACACTAGTCAAAAGAAAGATCTCGCGTTGCAATTTCCCCGCGCGTTGCAACCCAATCCGGAGGCGAGCTGATTACGAATTGGCCGAGCATATACGTCACTGCAGTAGCGCACTGGGAACGTCGTCTTACGATTCACTGATCAGCATCCACCGCTGCATAATAAATCAATAGTTTGGTTTCTCTGCCCGACTCCGACTTGGGTGCTAAGTTAGGGTTGTATGAATTTAAAGCCAGCAGTTCAGTGCTCTTTATTTCATCCCCTAAATTTGTGTTTCATCCCCTAAATTTGCGTTTCATTCCCTAAATTTGCGTTTCATCCTCTAAATTTGCGTTTCATCCTCTAAATTTGCGTTTCATCCCCTTAATTTGCGTTTCGTTCCCTAAATTTGCGTTTCATCCTCTAATTTGCGTTTCACCCCTAAATTTGCGTTTCATCCCCTAAATTTGCGTTTCATCCCCTAAATTTGCGTTTCATCCCCTAAATTTGCGTTTCATCCTCTAATTTGCATTTCATCCCCTAAATTTGCGTTTCATCCTCTAAATTTGCGTTTCATCCCCTAAATTTGCGTTTCATCCCCTAAATTTGCGTTTCATCCCCTAAATTTGCGTTTCATTCCCTAAATTTGCGTTTCATCCCCTAAATTTGCGTTTCATCCCCTAAATTTGCGTTTCATCCTCTAATTAATAATTAATTGTCTAATTAATCCTCTGTTTAATTGTTGAATTCACAGAGAAAATAATGACAGGGGTATGAAGCCTAATCAAGTTAAAAAGAGTACTAGTTTAAAAAAAAAAACGCAGAATGTGTCATAATGCCTATTACCATTTTTCCATTTGTTGTTTGTCCTTGCTCTTCATGTTGTTTTGCTCTGGTTTTATTCTTTTTGTTGATGTTCTTGTTGCTCTCCTTCGTCATGTTGTGTGGTTATTGTTTAATTCTAGGTCCTTCTTGCTGTTATCCTCGTTCTTTGTGTTCTTGTGTAAGTTGTGTTCTACATGCTGTAAATATGTTTGTCTTCTTGTTTATGTTTTTGTCTTGTTCTTGTTGGCCTTTCTTCTAGTTTTTATTGTTGCTTTTCATCTTGTTGCTCTCAGTTCTAAGGGTTCTTCTTGTTGTTCTGACTTCTTGTTGATGTCTCTGCCAATGTTTGCCTCTTACCTGATGGGTACTTGCCCAGTATCATCTGCCCGATGAAGTTGTCTCTGCTCTTGGAGTTATAATCCCAGACCGAGACCAACAAGCAGACCTCATCCAGCGCACTGGGCGTGACGTGCAGGCTGAAGGTTTCATTAAAGACGGGATCGATCGTGTTCTTCTTGGTCGAAGTCTTCTTCGTCTTGACTACCTTCTGATCCATGATCAGTTGGAGCTTCACAAAGGGATCTGTTGAAGAAGGGGGGAACGTGGAGTAAATTTAAGCCAGGACTGCGTTCCACTCACACGAACGCCAGCGTTAATGTAGCTATAAAGCCACTGCGAACGTGCCAACCCTAGGTAGAACGAGAATGCAATCGACAAAGCGTTGTCAAAATGGTGGCTCTCTACATAAAGTGCCTCTGCGTGGATACAAGCTTTTCAAATCTTTTATAATATATCGGGACTTGAAGTGAAATTTCACCAGTTATATGTGAAATTATCAGGGATCTCGATATGAAAACAGGCAAATTTCAACTCTAACAGCTCAGCGAATGTGAGTCGGCCATCTTGAAAAACATAGCGAACGCCCCATGAAGAATGTTCGCCTTTGTAAAGCTAATAACGTTCGCCGATTGTTGATGGCACACGGTTGGTCACACTTGCGCGAACGTTTCCAATGTTGGCAAACGTTAACATTCTTCGCGCAGTAAAAATCAGTCAGTTGACTGATCGTTGGAAATCACCTACGTTTCTTGATTTCTTCTTTGCCTAAATGACAGCAAGCCAGACGGAATATTTCACGGGGTGTTTAGTACCAGTACGATCTTTAATCCAAGTAAGCTTCTGGATAATAATTCGATAGCTTACTTTTGGGATAAATGTCGTACATGCCTCTCAATGTTGTCATTAAAATCTCAGGTCAGCTTCGTTTTTCGTAACATACCAAACTCAACTTGTAATTCAGCTCACTTGTTAATACCCTTGTAAAATAACCCCAAAAGGAAATTGCACACAATGAGAGGCAGATAATATAACAAGGAGTCCGACTCAAGCTGAACAAGACACAGCTAGATCCACAGAGTCTCTAATCAGTAGCGGTCCTTGCCTGTGTGTACAAAAGGACATGTAACCGGATCAGAGACAGGAGCGAAAAAGAAAAGGAGGAAGAGAGTTAAGGAAACTATTGGGGTATAGGATAACATCCCGGGCTTCGCATTGACGTATGCACATCATCTACAAGATCTCTGTCTGTCTGTGTCCTCCGAAGTCGGATAGGGTATCTCTCCTCTCATCACTACTCGGCCGAAACTCCCGATAAAAGATGTGGTGATTTGGCTGGTAAATATTTGATGACGGCTGTAATCGTCAACACGGGTCGGCTAGAGCCGGGATGAGGATCGGTTATATAAAAGATCGAAACCCCGCGTTAGAATTACGATCGTATAGTAGAGTGCAGAGAGTGTCAACCTGAACTATTTTCAGTCGTATATTTTCCCGCGCTTATTTATCAAATATACACAGATTTTTTTTTACGGCGCGCCGTTTTTTTCCCCGCTGGTTTATGAACTAACTTTGTGGTTGATTGATTAATGTCGGCAAAGATGCAGCGTGTACGACTGACTAATCAAAACAAATGTTTCCGAGGTTGTGTAGTTTGCTTTTAATGTCAGTGATTATGGTCGCACTGGGATTCGCACGAATTTGGTGTAATAAGATGCTCCAAATGCATGTCGCTATAGGCTGGGGAAAAAAAATGTAGTTACACTCTGGGTCAGATTTTAACCCGGAATCTGGGTCACATATTTGACCTGATACTTTTACGGGTTAAAATGACACTTTTTTCAAGTCAAAATGACCCGGAAAATGTTAAAGGGAAGTGTCACTTTGACCCAGAAAATGTTCCTGAGAAGTGACATTTTGATCCGGAAAATGATCCAGAGAGGTGTAATTATGATCCGGAAAATGATCAAAGGAGGTGTAATTTTGACCCGGAAAATGATCAAGAGAGTGTCATTTTGACACGGAAATTATCCATTGAGGTGTCATTTTGACCCGGAAAATGATCAAGAGAAGGGTCATTTTGACCTGGAAAATGATCAAGACAAGTGTCATTTTGATCTGGAGAATGATCAAGAGAAGTGTCACTTTGGCACGGAAATTATCCAGAGAAGTGTCATGTTGACCCGGAAAACGAACAAGAGAAGTGTCATTTTATACCTGAAAATGATCCAGAGAGGCGTCATTTTGATCAGGAAAATGATCAAGAGAAGTGTCATTTTGACCCGGAAATTATCCAGAGAAGTGTCAGTTGGACCAGGAAAATATCAAAAGTAGTGTCATTTTGACCCAGAAAATAATCACGAGAAGGGTCATTTTGAACCGGAATTATCAAAAGAAGTGTCACTTTGACCCGGAAAACAAACAAGAGAAGTGTCATTTTGACTCGGAAGATTTTAGATCTGCCCTCAGTTGTGACGTCAGATGTAAGGGGTCTATCTACACGGGAAAAAAAAACAAGACATGTACATGTATGTTATTGCCAAACTTGAGTTTTCCCTGTTGCTACTGTGAATACAAAATTTCCCCTGCATAATGCACCTACCTGATCCACCGTGAATATCCGTCTGTAGTAACTGTTTCGCCTTGATGACGTCAACATTCAGCCGGCCGGCACTCGGCAAGTAGTTCAGAGAAAGCAGCAGCTCGCCACGGCCGGGGTTGTTCTGAAACATCAATAAAGTAGCACCGCGATCGTTATAGGATGTACAAGAAGATGGAAACATTAAATCATATTAAAGCGACACTATGAAGGGAGACACTGAGTCTCTGAGTGGTTTCCAACTGCAGACACGACATTGCTCCTTAAATACATCGTTTGAATTTATCCCCAAAGTAATGTACGAATTATTATCAACAAGCTTATCTGGATTAAAGATCGTACTGGTACTCTATGACATTAGAGCGTCTGGCTTGCTTTCACTTACAAGAAATCAAGAAATGCCGGTGATTTCCAACGATCAGGCAATTGGCTGATTTTTGGAAATAAAGAGTGCTATAGACAAAATTGCGCTTCGTGAAAAACTTGTGAATGATTTTTCATTGTTTTCTCGAAAAGTGTAATATCCACTGAGTTAGGCTTTGAACATTCCTCATTGGATTTTATACTTTTTGCTTAAAGCTACATCATGTGATTTCACTGTCATGTCTCAGTGTGGAGTTACTCCAAACGACCTTTCTGAGGCGGCATGCATGGGCTGCTGAAAACGGAATAACAATTCATCAACACTGACCTTTAGGCCTACCGTAAAACTGTGGTGTCAAATTTAGCACCGATAGCTTCTGTATACCACTTGTGTCAAATTTAACACTTCGTTGCAGCTTTAGCAGTGTACACTCACTTGTACGCTCTTACCTGTTTCCAAGCATGAAGAAGGCTTTTATCAAGATTTTCTAGCTCTTGGAGTTTCTAGAGAACGATGACCAAGACTTTTCGTGTCAATTTGGGAATTACCTAGACTTTTCGAGATTTCTCTACGTCAAGGTGTTTGTGTTTTATATTTTAGGTTGGCTTAATGCCTTTCCTCGCCTTTCACCTCTATGACCCAGGTTCGATTCTTGCCCAGGTCCGATTCCAGCTCAGGTCCACATGCGGATTGGGTATTCCCCAGAGTATTCCTCTGGGGTTTTCCCCCCACCTTTAAAAGTTTTTTTTTTCCACTGTTTTCTCTCTACATATTTCTTCTGGATTGCGAAGTACAGTGCCAAGGGCGCTTTTGAGAAATCCATGGTTGCATTAGACCAGAAATAAATATATATCACATTTTGTAAGCGTGATAAACTTGCAAAATGAGTTCTGACGTTGGGAGTGATATTGGGATTTGTCTTATGAGCTACTGGTTATCTACTGCTTTGATATCTCTGTATACCATTGAACCTTCACGAGCTTCACCGAACCTTCACGAACTTCACCGAACCTTCATGAACTTCACCGAACCTTTATGAACTTACTTGATTTGGAGGTTGGAGTGGTTTCCAGTAATGACCACCCTTGATGAGATGAAGACCAGCCAGTGAAGTGATGTGCTGTCCAATGACACAATGCCGCGAAAACTTATCAAAATCTTGAATAGACAGGAGTAGAAGCCTCCTCTGCGCCTCTTGGTAGGAGATGTTGAACCGAAAATGCTCCTCAAAGTCCGGGTTCTGCGTCTTGCGTTTGACCGTGGTCTGTTTGGAATCTTTTTGGTCTGGTAGGAGACAGATCTTGACGTATGGGTTGGAATGCGCCAAGTCTTGTCTCGTCTCGTCGTATAGAACAGGGGGAGGTAAGTCTCTAGCTTTGATGATTCTGACGACAAGCTGCTCGTCCGCTACGTCGTACCGCAACCCGAAGTGGATCTTGCCCAGTTTGTACCGCGCCACTTTCTCTTCGTCCGTTAGGTCCTCCTCCTGTTCGGACACCTCGTAGAGTTTGGGCTCGATCTTGAGGTCCGTGTCACTGAACGAGCCAAAGTCGTTGGTGTAGCGGCGCGTCAGCGGCTTCGGCTGCACCGTCTCCTGGTTGGTGCTCGGCGGCCAGAACTCGATAGGTTTCATGTCGATGACGGGCACCGGCGTGCTGCCCCGCCGATACTCGGAGACTGGCGTGGAGCTGCGGCGGGAATCGCGCGATTCGTTGCAGGAGGACCGGCGGGAACTGGTGGACGGATGGCGGGAGTGGTGGGAGCCAGCGGAGCTGTGGTCGCTGCATATCGGTAGGTTGTCGTCAAATGTATCGTCCAGGTCTTCCACGGACGAGGAGCGACGCTGACAGACGTCACAGCACGGACAACAACGACAATGACAGCAAACTGAAGACAGCTTCCACCAAAAGCCTCCACTTCGAATCTAAGAGAGTAAAAAAACCGATAATACCCTTTGAGTTGTATCTATGAGTTTAAATGGTCGGAATCAAGTGTTGATGAAACATCATGTGACCCAGGTTCGAATCCAACTTGGGTCAAAATATAGATCAGGTAAAAAAAACTCTTTATCAGCTACTATTCACGCGGGTTCATAAGGCCTGCAAGCTCTGCGATTTTGTGCTATGAGTGATCGGTTTTACTAGCAAAATACATGGATTCCTTTTATAATATTTTTTGGCTGGAAGATTAAAACTTGGTAAAAACGTACTGCGATGGACGTTCAGTTGTAGAAGAAAGTACTTGGCAAACGTTTGGTAAGCTACGAAAAATTGAGATTTTGTGACGGTACAAACTGTCATATAAATATTTATGTTGAACAAAGAAATTGACTTCAGCGGGGTTTGAACCTGCGACCTCCGGATGCGCCGTGATCCGGTGCTATACCAAGGCTAACCTAGCTTTTTAGCCCTGTTATGTTGGCGGTTCCCCATTTTGTAATTATGGCTTTGTTCCAGAGAAGCCATAAAACCGTAAATGCCATGTACAGCATTGAAAGTCACAATGTCAGCAACATCAGCAATGCTGCAAACCTGGGAAATAGCAAAACGGGACTACTCAAAAATACGGTTCTCCCTTTTACAAAATAATTTTCAAATAAACCACAAATAAACCATGATATGCAATATTTCAGAGACTGCCTTTGCACTGGTCGCCGACACGAATGCCTTCAACAACAAAAAGATGCAACCTGTCAGATGCAGACGCTTTCTGAATGACAACAAGGGAGGCAGATTGGATGCGGGCGACGGAGCGACTTCTATTAGATTTGATCTGGTTGGCTGGTTTCCTCAATCAGTGGTTGACTACTGACGACCAGATGAAAAAAAATGATGATCCATAGTTTCCTATAGACTTTTTTTTAATATTAGAAGCAATCTTTGAAGTGTTTTATGTCAAATTCAGCAACAATGAAGGCACAACAGGTGTACTCATGCTTATAATATCTGCTGAACAAAGCATCCATTGTAACTGGAACGCGAATGATTTATTGGCTGCCATTACCTGCTTTTAATTAGGCTATGGAATAGCCGCTTGCCCAACAAGCGTCTATGATATGCGCGCAGATTCGGCAATTAATTATGCAAAACAAGACTGCGTCTTGACCTCCAGATTTTGACCATTCAGTGGGCGCCTTCTATCGGGTCTTCGGTAAGCTATAGTTGTATTACAAAACATGACAGCCAACCGACCAATCAACAGCTTAGGCCGACTTTCCACTGGAAATGACATCACAATAAATTTCTAAAGTTGACTCCCATTGGCTGGCGTGCAAGGTCGCATAAAATTTGCATGCACAAACGTTGTGGCGGAGCTTGCGCCGTTGAACAACGGATGATACTCGGACTAGCTTTTAATGCGAATTAAAAAAAAACTTTAACAGTTTCTTTTTTAAACGCCCCGTACATAATAAACCCGTTGTTTTGATTAGAAAACAACACGTACATTTATAATTACTGATATCCACAATTTATTTAAAAGCTCATAGGCCTAATTATAGCAGCATTATATTTATACCCAAGAATAATCTTCAATTCATATGATTATCCCTATTCTCGTGAAGAAGTAAATTACTGTCGTAAAGGATGCTTTCCATCAAATACCGGCATTAAATATTTAAACTCGACTACACTCGTATACAGAAAACAAACGCGGCGCACTTTCGTATCACGAGGATATTTTTAGCCACCTCTCTGCCGCGCGCTGAAGACTATATGACTATATACTCCCTGATATATAAGACTTTCGCTCCATTATGTGGCCCTTTGTCGCCAAGGCAAAACTACGTCACAGTGACGTATTCAGGGACGTATCTAGGTTGAGTGAGGTGGAGTCATGATTAATGATTCAATGCTTCAGGACGAAATGGTACCATTAAGGTTCGGCCGTGTTGGCAATTGGATGAATCAGAAGAATGCGATGCCGAAGCATTAAATTGCTCTCTCTATCTACGCATACACTTTTTCCCCAATCATTTTAATGACAGGTAAAATTAATAATAGCGAGAATTCCGGAAAAGAATTGTAAAGGCTGTTCTGGTTTGGAATATGTAATTGCAGAAGAAGCATATCTGTAGTCGGGTGATCGGAATTTAATTTTTTTAAAGATATGGTTCTATTTGAATAGGGACAGAATAAGAACAGAACGGAGAAAGTTAAATGACCTTTCAGTTAATAAAAAAAAAATGCTTAAGCAAATGCTATTTTTGACTTTCTGTTTATCTTCTTCACTGGAAATTTATTGAGGAGCAGCTTCTGATGCGAAACGACAATAGGCAGAGAATCCTGTGGTGAAATGCCTCATCTCCTGCCTAATGTACCGCAGAAGAACGAAAATCCCTCTTCCTCGAGATTGCCTCCAATGACGTCACCAGACCTTCAAAAATGACCGTGCTAAAAAGCGGAAAACCCTTCCCGATGGGGCGCTCCAATGTGAGGGATCACCGAATGTGTGTCTGTTTTTACGACTGCAGAAATCGCTCCCACATTTGTAAGTGACTGCACATTGCAGTAGAATCGTGCAGTAAAAAATATAGCTGAAATTACTGAAATTATGGGCCCATTGTAAGTTTCATAAAGACACCCGGTAATATTCAACGTGTGTAGGGCTGAGACTTTAGCCCTGTCAGCCTATTTATAACCGCTGATCAATTCCTTGACTCAAAGACCACTGGCTCCCCCTCGCTGTGCCGACAACCTGTTACCATGGGAACGCATGACGTCAAAGATGCCTTCACAACGGCCTTGCTCTTCGTACATAATCTGGACTCACCGAAAGGCCGGCCGAAAATCTCGCCATGCAACCGTGTACCTTTAATACTTAGCACAGGACAAACCGGATGTTGGGGGAAAAAACACCACAAAGGCCCTATGGGTTATAACTCGCAGAAATTCCCGCGCTTTCTGCCCTGGATGCAAGAGGTCAAAGGGTCAGATATGCCCAAGGTGGTTGAGCCGATTGATTTGGATTTAGCAAAGCCACCTAAAAAGCGTTCAAGCAATTGAGTGACGAATTTAAAATTGAGATTTAAAGGGGCCCCGCAGTTATTTTCATTTTTTTTCTGGACTGCGCTGGATCAATACGGTTGTGATGACTAGGATAAAGAAATAACACTAGGTTTTTTAAGAGAGATTTTAATGTACAAGTCATCATCGAATGAGGTGCCCTTAATGGCATGCAGGATCATTTTGCAAATTTTAAAAACGAGACTGCCAAAATATTATGAAATGACCCACTTGATTGTGAGTAAATAATATTTGAAACATCCTGTGAAATCGTTGAGGCTGGTATGCTGTCATTCTCAAGAAAAGGTAGATTTTGTATCAGTACTAACGATGGTTAGGACCTAACCATCGCTGAGAACGAACAGTTTTCTCAAATATTATTCCGTTAAACAGTCGCGGGCCAGCTGTTGACGCTTGACATGTGTAGGCCCACGTAGTACTTTCCCTAAAAAGCATTAGTCAGAATTGACTAGAAACCAGTTAAATTTGACTAGCCATTCAGGGTCAGCTGGGTGCAACTGAAAATCAGTCAATTTGACTAGATTTTTCCAGTCAGGATTGAAAAATAGTTATGCAAATAACTAACATTGGAGTCAAATCCAACTACTTTTTCTAGTCATCTGCATGTTTAACTAAACTCCTATAGTAAATTTTCAATAACTAGAAAAACCAGTCAATATTTAGACTAAGCTGGCGGCGTTTTTCTTCAAAATGAAGCTCTTGTTGAGAAGATCTCTTAATGTTTATTTTCCCCTTAATTCTTTAGTTCCCTCGGGCGATTTAAAACGGTGCTTATTGGTGTGGTTTCCTGTATTTTGTGCTATATACGTTATTAATTGTTTTAAAGCAATACTCTTTACACGTTTGTCAAAACTGACAAGTGGTATAGGGCAGATGAGATCTGAAATCGGTAGCGCACTGTCATAAGTTTGCAGAATTGACAATGATTTTTTTTTTATAACTTAATCCTTCACGGGGGAATTATGCATTGGTTAGCGGAGATTGGCAGTGACTGGCGGCGGGGCTTTGCCTGCCGCGTGCGGCCGGGAGAAGAAGAAAAAATCTGCAACCAGCCCCTCGCGCCGTGTTAATGAAGTATAGATTTTGTCGCTCTGCCAATATTTTAGAAAAGAGATGACACTGCTCGGTGAAAAAAACCCTAGGAGCCTTGTACACGCTTGCAATAACTGAGGAGGCGGCGTTGAGCAGCTGAAGCCGGCGACATTATTAATTTTATTAAGTGAACACCGCCCTCATCGCCCCAGGATGTTTATCAGAATGCGCTGGTTTGACCGGTTATTCCATCTGGTAATTATTTATTTCTCTTCTTTTTTTTAACTAAAATAATGGCCCGAGGCGATGTCGGGAAGCCAGCATCAAGCTGAAAGTGTCATTACGGAAATTGTCTATGAGTTGTGGCTTGTTGTCACCTAATGGATTAGTGATATAATAAATTGGATGAAAAACACCAGTATATAGTGTCTTTGCAACTCATAACAAATAATATTCATTGTTGACCAGGTTAAGCCATTCCGAAGGCTATATATAGAATTAGAAGCATGTAGAAGCTTAGAATTCAAGGATAAATAAATATATTCGCAGTGAATGCTTATACTTAGGAGGAAATGTAGCATACTTATTGCCAGTTTACATACATTGTTTCAATGTTTTCTGTTAACTCTGTTTTATAGAACATGTTTTTGTTGTTGCTGTTATTGTTGTGCCAACCTTACAATGATCTTTATGTGGACCTGACAACAAAACAGGTCCACATAACGCAGGTTGTGTGAACGTTATGTAGACTATAAAGACAGGTCCACATTAGGTATCGCCCTCTCTGGAAAACAGGTTTAGAGGCATTTTTGGGTAAGAGTCATCCGTTGCAAAATGAAGAGGAACACTCAAGGAAATCAGGATAAAA